CGACCTTCTCCTCATGCTTCTCCTCGCCCTTCTCCTCATGCTTCTCCTCGCCCTTCTCCTCATGCTTCTCCTCGCCCTTCTCCTCATGCTTCTCCTCGCCCCTCTCAGGTGGAGCTTCATCGTGCTCGCCCTCCTGTAGAGCTTCTGCTGCTGCTTGGCTGTTATCTGCAGGTTTCTCCTGCGACACACAGAGGAAACCACATCAAACAGCCGTTCCCATGTGTTCACCAGGAAGCGTTCCTCTCCTCCTGCGGCGGCTGACCTCAGGCGTGTCGCAGTAAGCGGGGATGACCTTGCTCTGAGCTTTGGGGTCCGGTTTGCGGTGGAAGATCAGGGGGTTGCTCTGGATGATGCAGGGGAACATCAGGAAGCGTTTGTAGACGGACAGCGCCATGGAGATGGTGGCGATCTCACAGATGATCTGATCGGAACAAAGCGGCTGTTATACATATGAAGAGATGAGGTGCAGCAGAACAGAGTCCAGGATCAGGACCTGAAGGCTGGGACCGTGGGTCCAAACCAGCGCCTCACCATGTTGCTGACAACCAGAGACTTGATGACCGTCCCAAAGCGCCGCATCAGCCTCAGAACCTCCCTGGATCCAGCAGGTGAGTCAGGAACATTTCTGATCGCCACCAGATGCTTCCAGCCAACCAGAGCCGGACTCTCCTGTGGGACAGAGAGCGGGTTCAGAACACCTCCTGACCCTGTAAAGCTGAGAATACCGGGCTGCCAGAACTCACCGACGGTTCTGATGATTGCATCAGAAGGTTGTAAAGAGCCACCTGCAGAGAGGAGGAGCTCGTTAGTTTGGCTTTGCTGCTGAACACAGAGATCTGCATCAAATCAACAAAGATCAGTACCGGAGTGGTGAGTCCGATGGGCTGTTTGACCACGCTCATCTTCACCTCTGTGTCCAGAAACACGGCAGGCTTAAAGCTGTGGACTTTCACCATCTCCTCAGCAACCTCCTGGTCAGGAAACGACACCAGAGCCTGATGGACAGAGACAAGATGGTGAACAGAGGAGCAGGGAACCAACGTCCTTTACCAGGGGGAGATTTACCATTAGGCCAGTTCCTGGGGGCCCCTTAAACTCCGTTTACATGAATGGTTAATTCAACTATTACCTATTTGTGCACATTAATGCTGTTTTTGATAAAAATCCTTTGGCTAAAACGCCATCAGAACGCTGATAATATTAAGTGTATATCTAGAGGCAGCGAACTCTGCTCTCCAGAGCCAGTAGATTGGTAACCCCGCCTCCTGCTCTCCTCTATCTTGTCTGCTGTCATGATTCATGCAGCTATTATTTCATCCAAATGAAAAATGGAGAACAGAGAAGCAGATCATGGCTTGTCTACAGTGAAAAGAAGGACTGGGTTATTTACTTTGGCCTTTTTGGAAACACAGGAAGGAGCAATCAGCTAAGTGAGCTTAGTGCTTGGAAAAAATCTTTCATTCCTTTAGAGACAGCATGAAAAGTCAGCTGAGTACAAAACATAGAGAGGAAAACAAGAAGAAAAGGGACAAGAAGAGAGGGACACAACCTAGAACAGATAATGGATGTCTATTCTATTAACATTTCTCTATCTGTAGAATGGGTTTGTTTTATGTGTTGTCTTCTCAGTTCAGAGGGGCCCCTGCCTGCCTTTGCCTAGGGCCCCACATTTCCTAAATCCTCCCCTGCCTTTCCATCAACAGACGCTGGAAACAGAAACTCGTCCCACAATCAGCTGGTTCAGGTTTAACATTCCAACCAAACCAACATTGATGTTAGCTTGAAGCAGCAGACAGAACGGCCGTGTCTCTCATAGTAAAGGACTTAGGGAGGGAAAGAATCAATGTTGGAATCCATTCAGAGGATGAATCCAGACATTGATCAGACCCTAAATACCTTTACAGAGTTAAAACCCAGCGTGCTCACCTTTCCGACGTCCATCGCCAGGATGAGGTCAGAGGGCGTCCCAAAGGGCTGGACAAACTGAACGATGTCGGCCTTTGACCAGCCGCTGTGAGGAAGGCCGCTGATCAGCACCTTCCAGCCCTGCAGACAGAACCAGCACCGAGGTCAGATCAGGACTTCTGTTTAACATTAGACTCCAACAGTCAGCAAATCATCTGGACTCATGTCCATCAAGAAACAGTGTCTGGCTAGGTCACCTGATCAGAGGCGGCATGGTCTGTTTCACCTGCAGACATGGAGGAGGGGAAACGGTCAGGCTGCTCTGAGCAGCAGATGGAAAGCAGTTCTGACTGAGAGGTTCCTACCTGAGACGTTCCCAGCAGACTCCTGCTCAGATGCTGCTTCAGGCTTACTGTGAGGAGAAGGAAGAGCTCAGTGGAGCAGCATGTTCAGGATCAAACATTCACACTAGGACCAGAACCCACCTGTTAGCCTCAGAGAGCAGACTGTCTGCAGGAACCTGGAAGGAGAGCTAAACATTAATCAGTGCCCTGCCCAGGAGCAGGGCTGGATTCAAACCCACAGCCTTCCAGCTGACAGAGGAGCATTCAATAGATAAATAAATCAAGGAAATTAAAATCTGGTGATAAAAAGAGGAAGAGCACACAGAGAACTACAGCAGAAGGGGCGGGGCCAACAGAACCAGAGCTGCAGCGTTACGAGCTAACAGCTAACACCCTCCAAGCAGAACATCTGAAGCCCCAAGCAAGGTCAAAGGTCAACATTATTAGCGGCACCCAACTGCCTGTTGGGACAGGAGGCCCTTCTGCACCAGGACCTCCTCCTACCCTTACCTTGGCCATGGAGGCGGTGATCTCCTTCTCTCTGATGCAGAGCTTGGCAGCAGAGGCCAGAGCCTTGGCGTCCTCTGCCTTCATCATACAAACAGACGCCTGCAACAGACGGCAGCATCAGAATGATGTTTGGACTCAGAAACCAACCCTTCAGCTTTCTGGCTGCTGACCTTCTGCTCCTTCTCGGCGTCGTCCTCGAAGCACGGCAGGAGAATCACGTTATTGATCTTTCCAAAAGATCCAACCAGGTCCGTCACTTCCTGCTCTGTTGCATCGGCAGGAATGCCCGTCAGGTAAACCAAGCGATCTGCAAAGCTCAGGCCCTGGGAGAACGGAGCAGCCACCTTCTTCTTCTTCTTCACTGGTTGACTTTTAACAACCTGGAGACAAAGAGTCCAGTCACATTTATTTCATCCTCACTAGCAGAGCTGGAGGATTAACAGCGTTTGCAATTTAATCACAGTTTAACAAAGCAGACTTTTAAAATCACAGACGCACTCAGTATAAGTCATGTTACATTGAACATTAAGTAGCAACATTTCTCCCTCCCGCCCTGTAGGTGGCTTACAGTGGGTTAAGAACCACACAAAGGGAAGAGAGGTGCAGCTAGCATACAGATCCATGCATGCAAGTAGAACTTAGCACAATGGAGTCTGGAGTGGAGGTCATGAAAACAGAGAAATAATCTTTGAAGGCAGGATGGTAATCTGGATGAACTGACAGGAGGGGGACTTTCTCACTTCATAATATGTTAAAACTACTTTTTAACCACTGATCAGCAAAATCGCTCTCTGCAGCAGAAGCATCAGATGCATCTGGACACACTTTACTGGACGTCTGACCTTAACGTGAACAATCAAACATAAAGCAGCAGGAGCTTTTTTGCTGCTCAAATCGCAGTGTGAACGTAGCATTACACTCTCTGATTGTTTGCATTAACCTATCAGACATGCTGGTGAAGATCAGACCCTTATTTTTAACTCATACACGGTCAGTTATTGGTAAACCAGCTGTTGCCGTAGCTCCCGGCTAACCAACAGCAGCTTGATGACCAGGGTCTAACTCATGTTTGCTGGACGCCTAAACAAGCTTCCCACTCCATGCAATTCCATTCTCTCTATCGTGCTTCTCTCCAAACACAAAGTTTCATTTCATTTATGACTTTCGGACTCGAACTGGTAATCTGATACCGGGCATTTGGGGTTGGACCTCCCGTCATGAGAGGGTAGGAGGCGGAGCCAGCCGCTATATTAGAAATCCCTCTGAATGGTTCTAGGAACGCCATGTTCTGAGGAAGGTCAAGTGTTTAAAGTATGGACTGATGGCAGATTTCAAAGGCACAGCAACATCCACCAACTGTTTAATTTCCCCCATCATTTAGGTCTCAATCATTTCGATGCAGAAAGTGGAACAGAAACGTACCATCTTGGCTGCTTTGACTGCAGGTCTGGTGCTTTTAGCCGCAGACTTCGGGGCGCCATGCCTGGATCCGTGGCCCGCCTCAGCATAGCTTTTGGATAGATCTTCATGAGGACGCTTCAGCCCGCGGTGAGAGCGGTCGCCTGGAGTTAACAGCCAAAGGAGCGGGTCAGTGATGGAATCAGAGAAGGAAAAGGTAGAGTCAATGCAAGCTGCTGGTTTCCTAGGAGACACCTGATCTGGACGGGTTTATATGAATGACAGCAGTGATGGAGACCAAGCTAACCTGATTTCATCTACTCCTTCTCTACATACACACAGTTCTAAGGGTTCCTTCTCCTGAGCTGTAGGAGGATGTTATGCTTGTTTTTCATCAGTAAACCTGTTTACATCCAAGGTCAACTTTACAAAAACAAAGTGCTTTTATTTTGGAATGCTACAGCTAGCTTAACAGAGAGTTTTTAAGGTTTTGTTGATTTGGTTCTGAACCGAGCCAGAACAGCCTGCAGAACCATTCATGAAGTAAAACTGTGAGGCTACGGCTAACATGAGCAGGTGGTTAGATGTTCTGACCCAGACCTGAAGGCTCCCGCCGTCTCCTGTCAGACAAAGAGTCTCTGTAGGGGAAAGCTGTCCTCTGGGAATAATGAGGGCCAGAGAGGTGCCGTTCAAAGCGAAGGCTGTGTTCTGAGGGACAAGCAGACAGATGGATCAGACCACAACAGTCCGCTCCTTTGGTGGGTTCATACATGGCGAGCGGCAGCGGTACCTGAGTGGAGGTGGGGCCGTGAAGGCCGGTCTGGAGAGCGCGTCCTGCCGTGCGGCCGGTGGACGTAGGGCTCTCTTCGGTATCTGCCCTGAGAAGCTGGAGAGCGAGAGCGGGAGCGAGACAGAGAGCCATCCTTGGGATCCCACAGAGCACGGCTGCCGTATCGCCCACTGCGACTGGAACGACAACAACCTTCAGATCGCTGAAAGCCTCAAAGCCCCAAGGCCACATTCATAGTCTGGGTTCAGATCCATTCATTCTGATTAAACACAGCAGAACTTTCCTATGCTGACAGAAACAGCCGGACAGTCATGGAGATTATCTGACTGCTTCAGGCATCATATGACCTCATCTTGGTTCAACCATATTCCAACAGTTCGCTCAAAACGCTAACTGGTCCTGCAGGAGTTCTGAAATGGAGGAACTGGTTTCCTCCTGGTTTTCCCAGCAGTCAAAAAGCTTCTATAAACCATCTGATATCCAATAACATCGGGGTGTCTTCCCATATAACAGTTTGGTTTGCTAGTCTTAATAAAGTCGTCAGTAAATGATTCATATAAACACTGCAAACATTTAAATCTAAAGGTCATTTTTTTTTTTTAAAACAAGTGCATTATTTCCTGAATTCAGGAGTTAAGTGAAACAATTTGCCAATAGAACAAGACAATTTACAGATAAAATAAGAAAAAACAACTATTATTCCAAGTGCATATTATCCAATATCTTTTTTTAAGAGTGAAAATACTCCTTCAATCGGCAGAGCTTCTTATTTTCCTGCTCAAATTAAGAGGAAATACACGTCCTGTTAAAAGGGAGTTTTTCCTCTCCACTGTCGCTACAAGCATGCTTAGTCTGAGGAATTGCCTTCAAGTCAATGAGTCGATGCAATCAACTGGTTTTAAGTAGAAAACTTTGAATCAATCTGACTGGATGATCTGGTGAACTGTAAAGTGCCTTTAGATGGCATGTTGTGAATTGAAGCTATAGAAATAAACTGATTTTTTTTTTTGCAGTGAAAAGGCTTAGTCCTGTTTTTGTTCCAGAAGTGAAGAAGCTGTTATTCTGTGTAACCATGACTGTCTGCAGCCTTTACCACCGTACAGGACGGTGACCCTAAGAGGCTGCGTGCTGTGGAGGATGAACTGACCTCGGCAGATTTGGTTTCCATTCAGGGTACCTTTGAACAAACAAACAGGCTCAGTTAGTTGGGATTTTGGAGCAAAGCTGAACCAAGGTGCGAAGAAGAATGAAGGAATGCTAACAGATTAGCTAAACATTCAGCTGGTTCCCACTGTGAGCTCACCTGTTCCGCAGGTCCCTGCAGGCGGCCGTGTGATCGACTGTGTTAATGTGGGACACCCAGTCCTGGAGTCAGAAAACAAGGCAGAGAGGATGTGACCGACACAGACAGAGGAGGCAGCAACCACCGGTCGCAGACATGGACACACGACCTGACAGACACGGTCAGTGCGGCTCTGTCAGGGCCTGAGGGTGGATCCTGTCCAGACAGACTGTTAGGACGGGATTACTGTACTGGTCTCTTTACTCCCTGCAGTCAGCTCTGACATTCAGTCTGTTTTTACCTTCACTCCGATCTAATCGATACACAGAAGATCGTCTCCATGGAACATAGCAGCTCTACCACCGACAGGAACCACTGGGGTCATCCTAATGGTCCAGTTCATATTTCAAACAGATAAAGGTCAGCTAGGCTGGGGCTAACGTGGAGCCCACTCACAGAGAGATGCTTGACTTTCTGAGCTAACAGTGCAACGGAGATCTGCTCTACAGCCAAGCTTATCTGGATGTTCAGAAAATGATCAACAACCAAAACCACAGCCTTCTGCTTGATTTAAACTGTCCCTCTCTTCAAGCGGCTCAAACTGATGCAGAACTTCAGCAGGAGCGAACCTCGTTTAGAACAACAGGGCACAGCCGCCAGGAGCTGACGCCCAGAGAAGCTTTTAGCTCATCGTCATGTGGAGGAAGCGAACCGGCATCCCAGAACCTCCACAACCTGATGAGGACTCTCTAGGAAGAAAGGATCGTCTTCCCTCAGCAGCCATGAGGCTTTTCTGTTGCACTTTAATAACTGATGTCTGAGAAAAAGTCAACTTTTAAACTTTGTTTTCATAATTGACCTTGTTGTGTCTTTTCTGAGTTATTTACAGTTGTTTTT